CTGGCCAACATGGCGAAACCCCGTCTCTATTAAAAAATACAAAAATGAGCCGGCCATGGTGGTGGGCGCCTATAATCCCAGCTACTCAGGAGGCTGAGGCAGGAGAATTGCTTGAACCCGGGAGGCGGAGGTTGCAGTGAGTCGAGATCACGCCACTGCACTCCAGCCTGGGCAACAAAACGAGACTCTGTCTCAAAAAAATAAAATAAAATAAATATCAGGTATTAAACTCCAGTGTTTGGGAATAATTTCATTTTGTCTCTTTAAGACTGAGGCTTTGATTCAGAGAATAGCGTCATTGTGTGACTGTGTGCTCTGGCCTAGCGCGTGTGATCAGGCGGAACGGCACTCCACATGTGTCTTGTGACCCTGCTCTTCTCCACTAAACAACGTATCACTGTGGTTCAGGGCATGTTGCTGTGCCTGGCACTCGCGCTACTGCTGCTGTATATTGAATAATATTGAATATTGAAAATGAGTAAGTGCATCCTGTGCTGTCATGGACCAGAGCTTCCATCAGCATCACCGCTGAATTCCATCCTTGGCCCTGATTTATCTTTTCAGTCTGCTCCAGATGGGAATTTGAATTTATGCTTTCGTTCCCTATTACAAACAATACTGAGCCGTACATCTTCATGATGCTTCATTCTTCCCATGAGACTGTGCCATGTGCACTGTAAAGGACCTGATTTTCTTGATAATATTTGTGCCATCACCTCTTCTGCACTTTTAAAACATATAGTTTTGAGTTGTCGTGTTCTTTTATAATCCTTTGAACGGCATTTGGGCAGCGAGATGGAGGGATGGTCAGGAAAGAAAGAAAGATGAAAAGTGCCAAAGCTAGACCCAGCAGGGTGGCAGCGGGGAGAGGGGGAGTGATTTATGGGGGAGTCAGATGTTAGCTGTCTTGACACTTGAGTATTTGGCATCAGAATGTCTTTCCACCTGACTGAATTTTTTTGAATACTGGAAACTTTTCAGTGAGAAAAAGGTTGGGTAGGTCTCTATTGCCCTTGAGATTAATGAATAAAAGAAACAAATAGGGGCCGGGCGCAGTGGCTCACGCCTGTAATCCCAGCACTTTGGGAGGCTGAGGCAGGCGGATCATGAGGTCAGGAGATCACGACCATCCTGGCTAACACAGTGAAACCCCGTCTCTACTAAAAAATAGAAAAACTTAGCC